ATACGTATATATATGTATATATGTATATACGTATATATATGTATATACGTATATATATGTGTATATGTATATGTATATATATGTGTATATATATATATATATATGTATATATGTATATACGTATATATATGTATATATATATGTACAATAAAGCACTATATGTACCTCTGAGATGTAGTACAGTAAAAGTACAACATGTACCTCTGAGGCATAGTACAGTATAAAGTACAAGTACAGGAATAATGATATTTATATTTCTGACCTTGTGACCCCACTGATCCGCTCTTCTGCTGCCGTCTGATTGGCTGCCTGAACTGAGCCACAGGCAATAGGACGTTCCTCAGCTTGGCCCAGCGGACAGAGGACAAAGAAAAAAATAAAGTCTGTAATGCATGCTGCCAGAATAAAGACTGTCAGACTGTGAAGGACAAATCGTTTGACAGCCATTAAAACCAGCACATACGCTCATAGCCTGACAGTGGAATCAATATCAATGTTGTTTCTAATGACTTCATATCCCAGCCTGAGATAAATAAAATCCCTTAGTCAACAGAAACACCACTTCCTGTTGCATAATGTAAACAGAATCCAGGAAACAAAGTATCTATGACGTCACCGCCTTCTCTGTCTTTGACCTCCCAGGAGATCAAGTTGGCCCAGAAGAGAGCTCAGAAGTACTCCGCGGTGCCGGACATGTGGTCCAAGTGCCTGCTGGGTCACTGTTACGGCCTCTGGTTCATCTACCTGCCCACCTTCGTGAGGGCCGAGGCCGCTAAGGTGCGAGCGCTGCACACGGCCTACGACGTCCTGAAGCACACGGAGAACAGAAAGGTGGTGTTGCCGGACGAGGTGAGTGGACCAAGTCAGGGGGTTCTCCTGGCTACTGGGTACACACTGTGTACTACATAGTGTATTGTTTATCTCCCCCTTAAACATCACTGTGTGTGTTTGTGTGTACTCAGGTGTGTTACAGGATCCTGATGCAGCTCTGTGGTCAGTACGGTCAGCCGGTTCTCGCTGTTCGAGTCCTGCTGGAGATGAAGAAGGCTGGAATCACCCCGAACACCATCACCTACGGATACTACAACAAGGTTTACTGATACTACACACTATAAACACATACATCCAGTCATTACATCAGCTGTCTCACTGCTTTTACCTCAGTACAAGTACTAATACCACAGTATTGAAATACTCTGTTACAAGTAAAAGTCCTGCATTTAGTTATTTACTGTATTAAAAAAGAGTGTGTCGATATCCAGAGAATTGAAAAATCAACAGTAATATACATCAGGTATATAAACAGTACTATGATCACATGTCCTCTGTCCTCAGGCCGTGCTGGAGAGCAAGTGGCCGTCCACCAATCAGGGAGGACGTCTCCGCTGGGCCAAGCTGAGGAACGTCCTATTGGCTGTGGCTCAGTTCAGGCAGCCAATCAGACGGCAGCAGAAGAGCGGATCAGTGGGGTCAC